GTCTTTATTGGTTAAGAGTCTTTACTGGTCAAAAAAGCAGATTGTAGGGCATGTGATCATGTGATCAAGGCAATGGAAAGATGTGGTATAGAACTAAAGGTTTACAAAGACCACTTTGTCTTGTCCACTCAGATCTAATTAGTTCTGACCTCAAATGTAAAAATGGCACACCTGGAAACTGTTGGTAACCATTATAGCAATAGAGTCACACAGGATCTATCATGGTTTGGAGACATGGTTGGTTTGTGGCCTCTGTGATAAGGCTAGAAATAAAAGGCACACATTGATGTGTTTCTGTGTCATGACAAAGGGATCCATGCCTCCAGGTTCCGTTGCAATCTCAGCAGATGACAGCTTATAAACTGTCATATTATGCTGTATGAGCATGCAAGTTTAAAAACCAAGCAAGTTTTTAATAGACAGTCCTATCAAGTCCTGCTTCTCTTTAGGAATGACTTAATTTGGGGATAAGAAAAAACACTTCTCCTGTCTTTCCTACATTGCTGTTGACTTGTACTGTGTTGGACTGATTCCCAATTCCACCACCCATCATCCCTTACCTCAATTGTCCTTGCTAAGAATCAGCCTTCCGTCCACTCCCTATGGCCCTAAAGTCTGGACTATCCAGGACATTTCTATGTCAGCTCATGGTTCCAGGGCACTTTGTCTCCATTGCTTGTTGGACACATTCATGAAGAATCTGTTGATGGTTGCTAGTCATGAATGGAGGATATTGTTCTATTGTGACCAGCTTGTGCATTTCTCAGAAACATCTCCCTGGCCCCTTTGGGGCAAAAAGCTGGACTACACAAATCTTTGACCTAACGGACCATAGATTGTATGTTCACATTGTAAAGGGAAGTTCCACCATTCGTAAGTCCATTTGAGTCAACTGGACAAATCTCTAACAATCCTTAATCATATTGGTAACAGTTTTGGCCTCTATCTTCCACTGGGAAACAGGAAGTCAAAAATCTCTTTTAAAATGTTTTTGAAATTTTTCATGATAAGCACTCCTTGGAAAAGTTACCTTTCTCAATCTCCCTAACCTCATCGTTGCTGGCCACTCTCAAGCCCTTCCTTAGTGTTGTGCTTTACTGAATTTCAAGCAGAGATTGTTGACGACTGCAGTTGTCCAACTTTTCTAATGCAAAACATCTGTGAACTCACATCGTAGATCCTCCTGTAGGTCATGGGAAAGCTTTATCTTCCTGGATGTAAGCTGTCTCACCATGTGCAGCCTAGCCTGGATGACCAAGGCCAACCATATAGCTTGCCAGCATTGAATGCTTCCCTCCACGTCTCAGCGGAATTAAGCATTAGCGTTCATTCCTCGAGGCATTTGCTCCACAGCAGTCCCACTGCGCCTTCTTCGTAGGGAGTTGACGGCCTTTCTCTCTTCCTTAGTGAGTGAGAACTTTTTCTGTCACAGCCTGCAGTGGCTTGATTCATAGGCAAATAAACTCTCCAAAGCAACAGGTCAATGACACTGAAAAATGAAATACCTCAAAGTACTTAGGAAGGAAGAGAAATTGTTCACTGATTTTTCCTTGAAGTCACACTGTTTATCAACAAAGGGAAAGAGATTAATATTGTCTCTCTGGAGAAGTCAGATGGCTTTTACTGTAAGGGATGGGTCTCATTCCACAACAAACTTTCTCATCCTTCTTCACATTGATCCTCTCCAGATTCAAGATGTCAGGAAAATATAACACAGTCTCTCTTGCATTGTATGATGACTACAGAAATTCAGGATGCAGTGGTCAATGAGACAACATAGTGGCTTTCAAGAGGAAGATCAGGCTAAATGCATGATGCTTAATCATAAATAATAATCCAACCGTATAAAGCAAAAGAAACCAACTCGATCCAACTTCGTAAGATCCACCATTCAAAAAAGAATTTTAAGAATTCTTAAATAAAATAATCTTTAAAAACCTGGGGAGAGGAAAACAGGCTTTATTTCATGACATCAATGATTTTAACTGCAGGAGAAGCTCAAGGAGTTGGCACTGCCAACCATTTCTTGTTGCTAAATAAGGGGCACCCAACATTAAATTAAAATGCACTTTTTAAAACCTTAAAGGAATGTTATTTTAAAACAATTAAAAGCAATCACAGATATCCCGCAAGAATAGCAAAGTTGTAGAATTGATGAAGCTGTTGTAAGATCTTGGGATGAGATGATTGAATGGTTGTGAGATTTAGCAATCTGTGGTGTCGTTTGTTGTTATTTTTATTTGTTTTTATTCAGCAAGGAGAAACATAGTACATACCAAAAGAAAAAGAAAAAGAAAAATCACATCTTTGACTGGTGTTCTTTTGGAAATTTGAGTCCCAGCCAAGAACCTAGGAATTATCCATGTTGTAAGAACATGTGCCTAGCAATTTTTTTTTTTCCAAATCTGCAGATGATATATTTAGAAAAGATTTAACTTGTGTAAAAGTTTGCTTAATCTTCTTGTTATTCTGCCTAATGCAACACTAACTACAGGGATAATTTTGCAAGATCTTCTCCATAATGCAATTATTTTGATTGTTAGATCTCTATATTATAGACTCTATAATAAGAGTCACCCATTGGGGGGAGATGGGCGGCATACAAATTTAATAATAAATAAATAAAATAAATCTCTATATTTTATTTTATTTTTTTCAATTCATTTTCTTGGATTATGGTATTCCGGGATACTGCCACCTCTACAACAATGGCTCTTTTCAGTTGTTGTTGTATCTTGTGTGTTGTGTTCTAGATGGCAATCAGTTCATACGCAAAGTCCCCTAAAATTTAAGCACCATTATTTCAACGATTTTCTCAATGTTATGATTGTACCACATTTGGGAAACTCAGAAATTATAGTTTTTGCCCAGAGGCCAAAGAATCACAGTGGGTGTTCTGTCATGACCTTGTTTCTAGTTAGTTTGAGCATCTTTGCTGTATCCACTAATGACATGATCCATAGCTTCATCTTTTTCTTTAGAAAGTGAACAACTGTTGCTGTTGGATACTTGTTGAATCCTTGATTTCATCACATTTGTTTGTAATGCTCACTCTTGAGCTGCAAAAATTAATCTTTCTGTTCCTTTCTTGATGGTGCCAGCTTGTAACCAGTTCCTGATCTTGTCCAGTTCATTTGCAGTTTCTTCTATGTATTGACTGTGTAATTGTTTACCTCTCCAATGTTCTACATGCTTTTCCCACCGTTCACTTTTACAGTCATATTTTGTTTCTGCTACAGGATATTTTCTTTGCAAACTTGGATGAGTATTTTCTCTTTGTTTGATGTAGCCATGTAATCCCCGTTTTTCCTATTTTGCCTTCAGTAAACCACAACCCCCAATTTTTTGTGCTAAGTATAGAAGAAAAAAATGATATGATTTGTGGGTTTGAAGATTTAAAAAGATGTGGATCAAATGAGGGGCTGAAGGGACTTGTAAAATATCTAAAAGGGAGGAGGGATTATAAGATTTACTGTATCTGCTGAAAAGAAGGTAGGAAGTCATATTTCATAACTTCAGTTTCTTTTCTTTTCTTGCATTTCTTGCTTTCATTTGTCTTTTATTCTATGTAAAATTCATAATAAATAAATAAACAAATCACTTTGTTGGTGCAATTTATGATACATGGGATTGCTCTTGAATGGTATTCAGTAGCTTCCATTGGTGCAAAATATAGGGGTGCGGGCAGTTATAGGTAGTTTACTAGTCCTAGTTGGTTTCTTTTGCTCTATACTGTATTATTACCCCTTCATTTTATTCAGTGTTTCTTTTCTTCATGTTAAGTGTTGCACAATTGTCAAATCTTTCTATTTTGAGAACTTTTTTACATAGAATTTTTATTAAAGATTTTAATTACAGTAATAAAAACTAATACAAACTAAACTCAGAGAGAGAAAGGAAAGTAGAGAGAGAGAGTAAAAAGTGCAAAGAAAGAAAAAAGAAAGAGTGAAATAAAGAAAAAGAAAAGAAATATATAAAGAAGTCACTTCCAAACTTCATCACAAGTATAGTCAAATTTGGTAACTCTTCACCCCCTATAAGGTTGCAAACAGGTATCTCTTCTTCCCATAATTCAACTCTTATCTATAAGCAAATGTATAAGACATCAACTTTTCAATCCTGATGTCAGCAAAAAATCCGTAAAGGGTTTGCCAGAATTTCACAAAAACATGTCTTATTTTAACCTGGATCAAATAAACCAACTTTATATTCCTTCCTTTTACTTCTGAAAATCTTAATCTTTAACTCATTCAAATATTGTTGTAGGATTTGATCTCTCTTCAATTTTTCTTTGTCCCATCGCATAGGCTTCTTCGAGGCTTTAACAAGTCTCTTTTGTAAATCCAATAAAAGGACATTTTCCAGGTCATTATCTTAGTTTATCATTTGTATTTCCCCTTTAATTTTTAAACATTCAGCCAGCTTCTTTTGTATACCCAGTAAAGAGTATAAGAGTCCTTATCCAAGTCATTCTCTTGGCCTGTCATTTGTATTTCTGCTTTAAATGTGTTCTCTGTCTTGTAATCTACACTTTTTTTTAATCCAATATTTTTTATTCTACTATTTCTGCATCAAGCAAGATTTGTTTCACATCTGTCATTCCTTCATTAACTTCCTTTAGAAATAATCTATCCATAGAAGTAGACAACGTTACTGATATTGTTGATATTGTGACTACTAATTTCTGGTCCCATTTTTTAAAGATCTTTAATTCAAATGTTATAGTATTTT